TTCGTTTTTTTGCTCAGAAAAGGTATTAATATATTCAACTGCAAGTTACCACCACCTGACCTTTATTTTGGCTGCAATTATTCTCATGTGACAGCAATATAGAACAGCATCAGAATCTTGACAGTATATGTCTTGACTTAATAGATGTACTCCCTCCGATTCATATTAGTTGACGCACACTTGGTACAACTTTGTATTAAAGTTGTACTAAGTGTGTGTCAATTAATTTGGATCGGAGGGAGTATGACACTTTCAAACCAAAGATTCCTAGCTGCTTTTTCAAATTATGTCAGTGTAAGTGTTCAATAGGGAATTTACTACTGGTGTTGGACCGTCAAACAAGGAAACCTTAATTACTGTGGTATCTCTCCGTTTGTATTTACATAGAAAATAATTCCCTTGGAAAAAGTGGGGAATCCATAAACAAAGAGGAAATCATTTCTAGATTCCTAATTAACCAATGAACTAAAAATCAAGAGGGGTTACCTGGCTGTACCCGTGCACTAAATTGGCAGCCTGTACGGATGTGTTTCTCTAAATTTTATTCCTATCTTCTGAATACGAATACAATTTTGGATTTAGCTACAATTGTAAAAAACTTGATGGCGAGAACTAAGTAGCAACCTTGCAGATCCTATATCCTAATGGTAACCATGGTAAACAACAACCTAGTCGACAAACAAAGGAGTAGCACCAAGCAGAATGTACCTCAACCGCAGCAGAGGCTGATGAACAGAGGGAACAACAACCACACAGGTACATGTTATTTCCTTGTTTATAGTTGTTAACCTTCCATCACCTGCAAGATAACCATTAAAAGCTGCAACCACAGTAAAACACCTTGCAGATTCATTATTTCACAATTCGTCAAAACTATCAAGTTTTAAATACAATCTCTCCTTGACCCATTGCATGGCTACTGCCAGTGCCAAACTATCAAACTGCCTTTTTCAGCTCCGCAGCATAAAGAAATCCATTTACCCCAAACACCTAGATTCACAATACAGCAACACCAATGGGCCAACTGAGTGGTGTCACCAGCAACGTAACCTACACTCCAAAAAGTAAAATATGATGCCACCAGCTAGATTGCTGAACAAACAAACTACTTGATTCTAATGAATAATGACTGGGTGCATCCTAAGCTCATACAGCATGATTTATGAACATAGTTTTTTTTAAAGCATATATGAAATAAATTAACTAACTAATTTGACCAACCGCTGTCGCCATCTTCTGAACTTAATCACAGGAAATGGCTGCATAGAGCAAAAATCCAAATCACATCAGCAAAGAAAAGCTATTTCTATGAGGCGCAGTAGAAGTGGTTAAGAGAGGAAGCCGTAGTATCCTCATCCCTTGTTCCCTGAGAATAATAGAAGATCAATTATATATATAGAAACTCTATTAGTGACCCAGTTATTCTTCACCCTGATCGATCGACCGGATGAGGGTCTGGGTCTGGCTAAGCCTCCACAGATGTTATGTTAGTTAATTGCTATTGAATATTTCTATTTGGTTGGACAGGATACTGCAAATTGGCTTCTGCAAACATCCAGAGTTAGTCCATGTAATTCTTTAAATTTATTATACAAGTAGTCGTTTCTGTCAACCAAGTGCCAACAAAATATGGCATCCATTTTTTTTTTTGCATGATTTGTAACCGCACTTGGTCGGTCTGCTATGTGTTATCATTGTTGTGAAACCAGCTAGTAATGGAAATATCGCTTGCCTATTTTGTTAGATTGACCCAGCCAATTGTAAGAGCGTCACTTCTGGATTTGGTAACTTTTCCTGAAAGAGCAAAGGGGCAAAGGGTTTCTTCGTATTGCACAAGACTTTGATCTATCTGGCTGGTTCTGCTTCAGCTGAGGCTATCGCCGATGTTGCCCTCTGCTCTATGGAGCCATGGAGGTTGTAAAGGTCCGTGTTCAAACACAACCTGCCTTTTTGCAAGAGGTTTGTCTGATGGCCTCCGTAAGTTTGTGAAGGCTGAAGGATATGCTGGGTAAGTTGAGGCAAGTGACTGAAATATTGAAATCTATTCTTCTCTGTAACTGTAATCTCGCTCTTTATAAACAACTTTTCGTATGCAGCTTGTACAAGCGAATTGTTCCGCTCTAGGGCCGACAAATTACTGTTGCTTAACTTGTAGCACGAGGGATAGAGTGTTGCTTCCGTGTACTGAGTTCAAACCTGTACGATGAACACCAAATTCAAACCTGTACGATGGCAGTGAAGTTGCGCCTCCGAATCTCTTCGCATCCTGATGTAATTAGTTCGTTAGAACTCAATTCTGTAGCAGTAATTATTTCTGAATTTCTCCTGCTGCTGGTTACCGAGTTCCAAGTGACATTCAGTTGTTCTCTAAACGAATTTTTTTTGTACTACTAGTAAAAATGATTTTTATTACATGAGATATTTTCCAGAACCATCAGTTACTCTTCAACGTGGAATCTATTTATTATATGGATTTGTTATTCCTGGGCCATGTCGTTGATTATATGATTTTATGTTTTTCCACTATTGGGAAACTGCAATCGCGAGTGTAGTGGGTGGCGGCGGCAGTTATGTTTTGCCAGTGTTGGGGAATTGTAAGCGTGAGTGTTGGTGTTATGTGGATCAAATTATATTAGTAGTATTAGATCAACATGCAAAATAATACTCCTATAAACAAATATAATGGTTTTAGATAATTAGGTAGTGATCTAAAATGTCGTTTCTAAATATAAGTCTTTTTAGAGCCGTATGTAGTGCATATTGAAATCTCTAAAAAAAAGACTTATATTTAGGAACGGAGGGAGTATTTGCTTATAGAGGGAGTAGTTGATAAGGAGGAGGGGGAACACTTCGGGTGTGAGCCAGATTCTTTTTTAGTGGCACAATTCATGTTAAAGTAATATTTGAGGGCTAAACTGGAAATATGTCAAAGTGATAAAGCTAAGTTACGAATGGAGTAATGTTCTTCGTTAATGGAGAACCCCTCCGCCGCTCCGCGTGTGGAGGCCGAAACAGGCTTGCGCCCCGCTATATTAATATAGCAACTGGAGCACCAACAACACAACCGCGCCCAAAAGAAAAAAGAGAGAAAGCATAAAAGGAAACAACTCGCATCTAGGGTTCCTAGCGCCGCCGCCGGCTCCCCCAGCCAGACGTCGCCGCAGTCGGAGTCCGCCGTTGTCGCCAGCCCCCTCACCCCTTCTCGACCCCTTCCTCCCCGGCCCATCCCTGTGCCCCGAGCGACGACCGTGGCGGCACCGCTCGCCTGTGCTCCTAGCGCCCATCCTCCCCGCCCCTCCTTGCCGCCGCCCGGGCGGTGTCTACGGCGTCAGGATCTCCCTTCCCCGTGTGTCCTGGCCTCCCACTCGAGGGTGAGTCCGGATGGTGGTGCTACTCGGACGGCAGGCGGTCCGGCAATCCCCGGGTGGCTTGTCCGTGGTGGTGCTGCCCCTTGGCGGTGAGGTAGTGGCCGCCGGTGAGCTGGTCCGACGCGTCGCCCCCGGCCCAGATCTAGGCCCTTGGGCCCCATCTGGGTTATAGGCGGGCCGGTTCGGTAGTGGCCGCCGGTGAGC